AAAATTTTATCTTAGATAAGTAATTAGATAACTTAGCGTTATTTATCTAGATAAGATAAAATATGACAACAAATATATCTAGATAAGTCCCAACACTGCTAATTAGTAAACCCTTTTATAAGGTTTTATACCAAACGTTATTTAAAATTTTTGTTGCTTTCGCGTCAAAATTGTATTGATGCTGACACACTATATTGAGTATAATAATAGATTTGTTCCAACACTTTATAATTTGACCGCATGTCAAACTATCATACAATTGGTGGGAGCATGCGCATTATATTTTTTTGCGTTCTAACACACCCTAAACGCAAACTCAAACTATCAGACAGTTGTTCCAACACGTCATTAGGCCAGATTTAGGATTGGTTGTGGACTATCACAACAGTCCGCTGATTCCGACGGGGATTAATAGTCAGAGAAACTATTATCACATTTATTATTGTTATCAATTTTTCGCGTTTAAATTTTCATGTATAGTTTATCAACAATTTTTTTGTTTCATGACAAACTATATATATTATAAAATAAATATACTATTATAATATAAATATAATATATTATTATTAACGTCTAAACTGGGTATCTAAAACAATTAAAATGGAAGGTATTTACATACTATGAATTTTTTTTATTTAAATCGCAATTTAATTTTACTAATTATCAATCTCATATCTTATCATTGAAAATCCGAAAAGCGTTTCAATAGAGCTCAGAGTCCGTGATCAATCTACATGAACGAATGCGCAGTAAATCAATCACGGATTAGTCGGCAACTAATCCCAAATTCCGTGTTGAAACAAACCTAATGTATAAATATTTCTAATTTTTCAAAATAATAAGTCTTGTTAAAAAAAAAAATGTTTGATATTTTAAAAACAATTAATATTTACTCGAGTATTTAAGTTTATTACAAAGATTAATTATTCAGTTTCTATAGAAACTCATAATGAAATTTAATTAAAGTTAATAAAAGCAGTTAATAAAATTATATTATTATTATTATTATTTTTTTTTTTTTGTTAAACGTAATATTAGTTCTGTATCTGTTATAAAAATTATTTAAATACATACATAAAAATAATAGATAAACAAATTTACAATATTATTTAATTTCAACACAGCAATTATTTCCAAAGTTCTTTATTTAAATTAAAATGAACTCTAATTAATTTTATTTTGAATAAAATAATAAAATTAAAATCAATTGATTAAAACTTTAAATTCTTACGGAAAAACATATTACAAGTCTGAATTATCGTTTATTTTTAAATAAATACAGTAAGAATTATTATTTTGTGTACTTAGATTAATTTCAAATATTTTTATACTATATTAATAATAATAAATTTATAGACGGCCTTGTCTGAGCAAAAGAGTGTACATTTTACATTTTTCACACAAAATATATAATATTATATAACTAATAATACATTTTAGTTTATGTGAATATTTAACTAAAAAAACTAATTGTTGATTACAATAAGAAACATATCACCAATTAATAACATATTATATGTCAGTAAGTATAACATTTAGAATTATTGAATAAATTTAAATTAATGAATAATTAAAATAAAATAGTTTTGTACTTTAATATTCATTATAAATACACACAATTTATTTAAATAATTTTTTCATAGTAAGACTTTAATGTTTTATTGTCATTGATTAGGTTTATTATATTCGAGGTATATGTTATAAGTAGTGTTCCAAAAATTTTTACTTAAATGTTTGACATTTAATTTCTGAGGATAGAACGATAAATTAGACAACTATTTCAAAATAACTGCAAAATTAATTCAATAGTCTTGAATTTAACTGTATATTAGTTATAGATTTTATTTCATGTTTTTAATATATACACACTTTTAAAAGAATAATTTTTGTAATTAATTTTTAGTATACATTTTTTTTTTTTTAGATATTCTTTGACTAATATATTTCTATTAAAATTTGGCTATTCAAAAGTGCATACAGTTATCGTGGGAACATTTTACGCCTAGAACTATTTTTCCATCGTATGTATTATATGGAGACAAAAGAAATAATAAATACTTTTTTTCATTTCTTCATGTTTTTATTTGTAATTTTACGGTCTGCGGGACACACCTATATACTATGTACATTTCATTAAAAGAGTTTATCGCCTTCTCAATTGTACCATTGGAATAGTATTCATTATTGTTACGCTGTTAAAAACGTGGTAAAAAATAAAAAATGGCCTGATATTACTTTTTCATCAGTCTATAATATAAGAATTACATTATAAAATATTTAATCATAACTAGTATAGTTTGTACCAAAACTTTATTAGTGAAATAAACAAATAATTCCATAGAATTTTTAAATATTTAGTAAAATAATAAAATTTCTTATTTAAACATAAAATTTATTTACAGTTATTTTTATGTATGATAGCTCGTTTACTCGGCTTCAACCGTGAAAATAAATGTTTATCTTTATGTCAGGTTAGGCCATTAAAATAAAATTATAATCATCGTTTTCTAAATCTCATTTTAAATCATACAATATTGTACAATATTTATTTTTCAAAACTAGGAGTAACAGATGAACTTCTTTTTACTTCATTCTTTAAGTAAAAAATATATTTTTAAAAACTTTATTTATTCTAGATTACTAGGTAATTGAGAACCAGCCAAATAGTAAACTTACTCACTTGAGCTTAAATGTTGGCATAAAATTTTTATGCTGAATTTCTGTTGCACCAAATGATGTAATTTAAAAAGCCAAATTATACATACAATGTTTTGAATCGTGATGAGAATAATTTAAAAGGCTTTTTAAGGATTCAGGCGGATCGTATCTGCAATGTCTTAAAAAAAAAATTTTAATAATTCTTATTTCTTAATTTTGATGTCACTTATTTAAACAATTGAAATAGATGACTACTATTTTCTACAAAACCTCCTAACAATTCCACAATTGCTCTCTTCTGAATTTATTCGATGAAGTTATACTTGCACCGAACTACCACGTGTTCTACACCACTGTCCATAAAATAGATTTGGAGAAATCTCAGGTCATCAATAAGCATTGGGATCAATGACCCAATCTTATGGTTTCAAAATTACGTCCATCGGATGTGAAACCGCAAATTTTAGTTGCTCCAAATTACATAATTTGGAAGTAAAAAATTAATTTGGGTGTCTTAGACAACAATAATTTCTAATTATTTAAATAGCCAGCAAAAAATGATCGTAAATGTTCTAATGGAATGAAAAGGGTACAATTTGATTTTGATGTGTAACACATTTCGGGTGTTTCATTACTGAATTTTAATGCCTGACAAAAATAACATACTTTATTTATTGCGACTATAACAATTTTAGATTTCGCAAATTAATTAATGTCTTGTGTATATTCAAACGCAAAACGAAAAAATTATATACATATAAATGCATGGCTTGTTCATGTTCTCTCTCGATCATGTGCTCTAATTGTGTTGTTCAACCGCTACCTTTGTTCTCGATACTACTTGTTGTAGACATTTATTACGCTGTTCTCGAGGTACTTGTGCACGACTCTCTCTTGTCCTGATTCTTAAAGTGTGTTTTTGTCATGATTTGATTGAAGTTCTCTTACATATTTTTGTCCTACCTCTCTGGTATTCCGATTATAAAGGTTAGATATTTTGGTGGCATCAAAATAAAATAGAAATCATAAAATGAAAAACAAGTAAATAATACTTATAAGTTTTTAATCGTTTTTGGTATGTAGTTGTTTAATGTTACCGAGATAGCAATAAGTGTTATTAAATTAACTCCATCGCTATCTGTTTTTTTGAATGTAGTGTTAACATTATTTAACTGTTGTGTTCCAAGTGTAATACATCGGTACCTCAATATACAAAAAAGATTTTGCTAATTCAATTTTTGTATAGATATCAAAAATGTGATGAGAGCCGTTTTTAGAGAAGAACGTATATCTTATACTACGGTTATAGTCGTTTTTAGAAATTATTTTCAGTAAAATAGACACGTTCACCAATTTTTTAGGTGCGCATTGTAGTGTGTGCTGATAGGGTTCCTCTTTTTTTTTCACGACAAATAGTAGGCTATGTCCTTCTCCAAGGTATAATTCATCTCAATACCAAATTTTATCAAAATCGGTTTTGTAGATTTAAAGTTTATTGGACAGAAACTTTCAAACGCATCATTATTAACTGTAACAAATGTTCAACTTATTCGGTAGATTTTCTAAAAAATTTTATTTATGCACAATTTGTCCAGACAAATTCGACGAATAATAAAAAAAAAACCAATTGGTCGAGCCGTTTTCAATTTATTTTATTTTAAGTATTAATCTTAAAGTTCCATAATATTATATAGATGCTTGTTTATCGCCATTTTTGTTATGATTCATAATCTAACTTTATATACAACTTAAAAGTATCGTTGAATTTATTTTGGTTATTATATAATCTTTATTTAAAATAGTAATCGTTTGAATATTATTTGTAATTTGCCATTGGCTATTGTCTAGGTACACATTAAATTGCAATAGTGGTCGTTGGCCCGCAGTATTTGGATGCATGTGTGAATTTATTTGTTGAATTTCCAACACATCATATTTTTCTCTCATGATGGTGACAACAGCTTATCGGACATAATCTCGTGATGAAAAATACCCTTTATTTCTAACTCAATCATACATCCCATTATATGTGTTAGTACTTATCGAAATGTATGTGATAATATAATATATACTTTTGCTTGTGTTCACAAATATAAAATTAACTATAACGGAATAAATTGGGGATTAAATAAGGGATCTAAAGATACATAAGTCATTTGAAAAATGATCGTACGAATATGTAGTATGCATCCCCTTCCGTAGTCTCTTTAACAATTAGGCAATGGTACAGCAAATGATTGCAACAAACTAAAATCTTGTTGCAGATTTCTTTAATTAATTAATATCAATCATAATTTAATAATAAATAATTTAAATGATTATTTTGTGTTTTTGTGTTTCAGGTATGATTGGCACGTATCTATTTATTTGCTTATTGCAATTTGTGATGACCGTTATCCAGTAGTTAAACGCAGCCGTCACACAATATTGATAACAACATTAGTCGTCGGTAGTGGTAGTGGAAAACGAATATATAAGTTATGTTAGGTTGAATCAATTTTCTCACACTGTCCTATTTTCAAGTTCAAGTGGGTATAGGTATATTTTAATATCAAAATTATTGCTTGCTATTTTAATTATTTTTTCAGTTTCTGTTGATTTACTATATTGTAATAATACTTAGCAAATCTAGTAAACAACAAAAGTTGGTTATAACTTTTCTGTTATTACCTATTTATTTTAAATTTTATAATAGAAGTTATCATTAATAATTATAATGTAGCAAAAAAATAATATTTAAAAATTGTAAAATTTATCAGCTATGTCAATAATTTACTTATTAAATAAATCATAAATGTTAATGTTTTGATAAGATTAAAATAATTATTGATATAAATACATTTTTACTTTTCCTTATCTAATCTTAAAGATTAAAAAGTCGGGTTTGACTATTACTTGTATAAAATTAAAAATATCAATGAAATATTAGATAATATTTTGATGGATATTTATAATGAAATTTGTTTAAAATTTTTGGAAATTATTTTAGGTAAATCTCAAAGGAAATATTTTAAAACCAGTAAATAATTTTATTTTAGTAGGAGAAAATAATTTAAACATTTTTAAAAATGCAAATAAATTAGTATACGAGTATAAATACAGTATATATCGTAACCATCATCAAAATCCATCCAAGGAATTAAAAATAATCATACAAAAAAAAATGTACAAACCTTTCCGTTTTCATAAAAAATGTATTTATTCATTCGTTCTGTATTATCGTTATAACATTTGCTACACTTTAAATATATATATATTTAAAAATCTGCAATGATGGCTAACAAATAAAAATAAATTGTTATTTATTTTTTATGCATATTAGTCTAGTCGATAGTTTGTGTGTACATCAAATTTCAAATATATATTTTCCATAATGTTTTGTAGTAGGGAAAACATAAATATTGGTATTAGATTATTATAGAACTAAGTATTATATATATATATAACTCGATTCGTGAATTAAATTGCTTGAAATTTTACTAGGTGCGTTATAAGTTAGCCATTCTTGCTATCTATTGCAAAGGTACAGTTGATAATACGAGTAACAGTAAGTTACTCGTATTAGGTTATTTGCGAATATAGTATTTATCTATATTATTATCTTTTAATAGTTGAGTTTATATTTAGAGAGCAAGGAGACGCTTAGAAGAAATCAATCAATTCTGCCTAGTTTATATTATAATTATTAAACCGTTTTAATTTTCATAAACTTTGTAGGTTTAAGACGAAAAGTTATTGTATGAAGTCAAATTTCCCTTCCAGATTCCCTCTTTACATATCTAAAAAATTGAGTTGTTCTCATTGGTAGCAATCAACATCATATTCAATCAACCCCCCCCACCATCATACTTCTATTTCTTCTTATCTTCTATGCGTGTATTTTGGAAAGACAATCCAGGTTATAAGAGCCTGATTACAACACTTATTAGCTAACTAAAACACGAATTTCATATTTCAATTTTCACTACGTATACCTTGATTTTTCTTCATCGCTTACTAAGTTCTAGTGTTTATTAATTTTATTTAAACTCACTGCTAAAGGATACTTTGCTAAAAAAATGTAATGTAATAATTCGATTAAATTCAATGACTGTGTGTGTATTATTTAATATTATTTAATAGTCTACTTTAATTAATTACTTTACTTTCATATTGCAATTTAAATTGTTTTAATATAATCTATTTTCAAAAATTGTATAATGTTTTTATTTATTAAAAACAATACAAATTATAATAGTTGTAAAATAAAATATAATAAAGGTTGAAACCATTTTAATAATAAAATAACATATTGTTCGATATTAAGCACTAATAAAGAAACCTAAGCGCCTCCTTTAGTATTTTAAAATATAAAATGTTATCAAATAGACCACATTTTAATATTATAATATTAAAACATTGTCTATTCGTCTATTTTTTTAAAAATAGATATATATTTTTTTAAAAAATAGACGAATAGACAATATTTATAAGTACACACTTTACAGTTTTTATGTTAAAGAAACTTTCAGCTTGCACCAAATTTTAAAATACGTCTTGATTGTGTGTATTTAAACGTGACGTATTGTATTAACTATGAATATGAAGTGTGTTCAGTGATGCCATCATATTTTGTGTATATATTATGGTAATACTTTGTTAAATGTCATCACCAAGTCTATTGTACAATTGAGTTTGTTGATTCACTTGAACATGACTGTATGTTCAATTAGTATTTATTTTCCTCATTTTAGTTTATAAGCGTTTTATTATTATTTTCAAAATTATATTGAAGCGTTTATACAATTATTCAGGTATATTATACATGATTAATAAATACAATAAATAAATCTTCACTTTACCAAGTTGTTCTCGTATAATAGTTTAAAATTAAATATGCAAATCATTAAAACGTTCCTAATTTCATTAAATTGCATTGTTTTTCTGCTACTAATCTAAAGAAAATTTAATGTAACTGATTATACTTTTTTACTTTTTTTCTAAAATGTGTTCCCTTTTACAATAATTAAACTATATATATTATTTAGTTGTATGAATTGATAAAAGCGCTTTTAGTAGTTATTTTATATTCTAAACCACTTAAAACTCAGTTAAATTTCACTTTATAGTATGCATATAATATATAAATAATTATAATATTAATTTTTCTCCATATGTCCTAAAATGTAATAACTATAGGTAATTTGGAAAACTAGATTGTAATTAGTTCTAAATTAGATCCAAAATATTGGTGAAGGTTTGAAGTCAATAGGACAAAGTGGGGAAGCAACTTCACGGACGAAAGAAATTGACAAACTGACTTGATCTGTGCTTAGTGACCGAATGGCCACTCTGCCACGCTATAATTTGGTAAAGCCTTATGATCTATATACGAGACCGAATAAAACAACAAATTAGAAGCAGCGGCGAAAATGTATCCGTGAAAATAAATGTTTATGTTATTTAGCTTTTCGTTATTGGATATTCTACATTGTGCAAGTTTTGCGTTCACTCGGACAACGTATCACATGCTATTGAAAATAACCATGGTTACATATTCAAACAGAAGTTGGCTTATCTTCGGAAACAATGTATTGTATATATTTATTTTGTGTGCGTATATTATTTTCACATGAGTATAGTAAACATTTTTTAAGTTGATTAAGACAGTATAAGTCACATGTTATGTGATTATATAATAATGTAATATTCATCCGAGTATTTATCTAACCTATTATAATACAATTATTATAATGTGTTTTATGTTTAGGACGAGTTAATTTAGGTTTTTCTTGGGAAAACAAAAATAAAATAAAAAAAGACACTGTAGATAAAGGCACGAATATCGTTATTACAATCGATTACGCACATCATTTGTCCTGGTTTAAATTTTTACTCTCAAAAATTTGTACTGAAAAGACAAATCAAAATATTCTGCGTGTTATATTCTGTTGCCATTCACACAAATACATCCATTCGATACGGCCTGCAATATTTTATTCAACAATAGCTATCGACTATTAAAATGTTATAGATTATAAACTACATAGCCATACCCATATTGTATCTATGTATTACTTACTGTGTTTTAATCATATTTCATTCTTGCGATTTTTTCTTCGAGTGCATTATATCATCCATAATAAAATCTAGTTATCTATTTATTAATCTATATTATTTCGTATTGAAATGATTCTTATGGTCCAATCGATTCAATTTAACACGGACTCGATGACAATCGTTCAAAAAACTTGTATTATCCTGGAAATAGTGTAGGTACTTTGTAAGATACTCAAACTGTGTTTATATACAGTATGTATAAATTATATTCTCATGTACATCTACAAATGATAGACTTAATTTATTTTATCTATACGTGTGTTAAGTTAAATATTATGAACATTTAAGTATTTAAATTATTTGTTATAAACTTATAAGTCTGTTTATGTTTTATTTAAACATGAATATTGAAGTCCTTTTATTTTTTCGATTGATAATGATATGTCCATATGTGTAGTCAGACTTCGTGTTCAGGGTATGCAAGAAAGATATATATATGTATGTATACAAAAGTGAACTTATAGGTATAAAGACAAATTGCTGTTTCCTAAAAAATAGAATAAAAATTATAATTTCTATAGGTGTTAAGGGTATGCAGTTCCATACCATGCGGCCCCTCTGGCTACGCCTATGCATATTAATTTAAGACATAGTAAAATGCAGTTTTTTTAGCTATCTATTTTTAGTTTAACCTTCTAAAAATGTTTACTTCTATAACAGAAAATAATTTCACAATTCTAAAATCAACTTAAAATTATGTACTAAAATGTACTTCTACTTATCTGTTTTTAACCTGTTTGTCTTATCTAATGTTAGGTTAGGTTAGGTTAACCTAACCTAACGTTACTTATTTTAATAAACAAGGCTTTTAAATTATATTTATGCGTGTTTATTTATATAATATTTATTATATTATATGTTACTATGTAACTATAACATTGTAACATTAACATTGATATATAATTGAATTTCATGTTGTTATATCCTTTATTTCCCTAGTGCTTTCTTAACAATATAAAACCACGGTTGTAATGGCAGTTCGCCAACTTTTATTCCCTTTGCTATGTTTCTTCGATTACCAAAACATATTAGTTTCTAATGAAATGTTTCGATTGGTTAGATTCCGTCTAAAAATATTTCACTTGAAGATTTTATTACATTAATTGAAATATTGTTAGCAGTATATTTTATATATATATATATATACATGTATCTATAACATTTTTTGGGAAAGTTATTTTTTTTAATTTTAGCAAATCACTTAATGAACTTTTTTTTTCGGAACTTAATTCATATTTATTCGTATGTTATT